GGCTGCTGCGTGGCTTCTCCGTGCTTCTTGGCCGCGCTATAAAGCCTACGTCGTCGCCGTTCTTCTCCATTTCCTCTCCTCTGTTTTTCCCGTTGTCGCCGCTCAGCTCCGTCGAGCTCGCGCCGGAGCCATAGCGCCCTCCCAGTCTCAGCCCAGCATGTCATTGCTCCGCCTGCTCCTTGCGAACCCAGCCGACCAGTCTTAGGCGCCTGATTTCGCCGAGATACGCTGCGCACCGTCCTTCTTCCTCGTGGCCAGCCGCAACGCCATCGAGCTCGCTTCAACGTGGCCAGCACTCTACGGTGCGTCTCTGCCCTTGTGAAGCGTAGCTCCATCTTCTCCGTGTTGCCGTGATGCTCTGTGTCTTGTTGGATGACCTTTTCATCCACTGCAGCCACCGGAACGCCGCCGTCAACGACAGCTTGCTCTGCCGTATTTGCCTTGATCGCCGACAAGCTTTTCTGTTGCTCCTCCGGTTCAGCCATCAGCTCGAGCGTGTTTGGGGTGAGCTACTGAGTCTTCCCAAGCTTTTTGTTTAACCGCTACCGGCCTCACTTCGCCGGCGTAACGCAGCCGCACCGCCGTGGCCGCCATGATCGGCGTCGAGCTCGGTTTGAGCCGTGACTGGTGCAATTAATGCCACCAATAGGTGCGCCTTGCCGTGGGGATCACGCCGGTAACTCGGTCGTGGCCGGAGACCTCACCGTCGGCGAGAAACCGCCGGTCAGCGAGCCTCGCCGCCGTGGTCAGCGCGGAGGTACTGTGCTGACATGGGTGACCCACATGTCATTGACCGTTGAAGTGAAAATGGATTTTTCTAATTTGCAGATTTGTTTAAATAGTGCTGTGTTTTATTTATTTTGTGTAGAACTAAATAGAGCTTCAAAAATTATGAAAATTTTTGTGTGACCTCTTTGAGATGTAAAATATTTAGGAAAAATATTAAATGTTACTTTTCGGTACATTTTCAATGTGATAAAAATTGCTCAAATTAATTAATAAACGAGTTTCCATGATTTTTGTAGGCTAAAATAATTATCCAAAAATTATGAAAATTGTTTTTCCACTTAGTTATCATGTGATGAGTCTTCACAAAAATTTTGAGCTCATTTGGAAGAAGTTGATTTATTTCATAATTTTGAATTAAATAATTAATTCATAAAAACAAATAGTAAACCATAATGACTTAGGTTTTGTTTGAATTTTTGGATTGAGTGATGACCTTGGGTCATTAGCATAAAATGATCCTTGGTACTTAAAGTAAATGTTTGAGTTTGTGAAAAATGTTTAGTTAGTTGTTGGTTTGCAACTGTACCGCATAGGAAAGTTGTATTCAAGTTACTGATTTTTGCATCCATCGTCAAGCATCATGTTTTATATCTCGCATCATATTAAACATGGCATTGTTACCTCATGTAGTGAACGAAAGTGAGAATGTGGTAGTCAACCAAGTTATTGTGGAAGTTAATCTAACTATTGAGGTCGGGTTTGATATCTGTGGAACATCTCCGGAACCTGACTTTTCCGACAATCAAGGCAAGCCCCGGATGCATTTAAACCAACCTTGTGTTTTATAAATTTATATCGCTTTTGCTTTTAAATATTGCATTAGGTGATTAGGAGTTGAGTGGAAACCTAATTGGTGCATTATCAACCTTTTTTCCATATCAACCTTATTACCAGTTTCAATTTGAGAATGTCTAATTATTCTTAGCCATGCTTAGACCGATAAAAGTCAGGTGATTACCTATCACCTGCGAGATATAATTGGGTTTTTGATACGACTGGTTATTTATGTTATCATGAGATATGAGCATGTGGAGTAATAAATCTAGATCGGACGGACTCGGTGTGTGAGAGCCACAGGACATGGATGTCTTGTGAGCGGGTTCTTTCCGCCTGTGTCGATTAAGAACCGTCCGTTATTGAATTGCATGAGGTGAGACTTTGTAGTACTGGCCACATACTCCGGTATGCCTTAACTCGGCTATTCTATTACGAGAATGGCTACTCGCGCACTGGGAGTGGAGAGATGGCGGGAGTAGCGTGTACCCACGTGGCAATGGGTTGGATTGGTGGAGTACTGTGCTCTCAGGTGGCGTGGACCTGTTCTTATTTTAGAGGATCTGAGGGCAGGTTGGTATATGTAGGTCAGGGACCTGCATATGTCGTGTGGTTGGGAATCCCCAGCTGGGTTATAATCGGTTTGAATCGTCGTTGCTCCTCGGTTATGGAGACTCAACTCACTGTTCATCATCGTAGTTAATAAATGAAACTTGAGTAAGATTTGAGAAAGAGTTTGATATGAAATTCATGGTCTCAATACGGATCATGGTAGATTCATATATGATCTTGATGAAGGTTTAAATGTTGAAAGAAAGAATCTTGTTAGATAGCTTTTACGCAAAAGAACTTTGTTTATTGCTAAAGCCATACTTTGAATCCCTGAGCCTGTATTCCTGAGTCTTATCAGTTTTTATTTCGGTTAAGTCTTGTTGAGTACTTTTGTACTCAGGGTTCTTTAACCCTTGTTGCAGGTGAGCCTCATGAGCAGGTCTGCTTTGGACCGTGCTGCATGACAGTTTTTCAAATCGAAGATGATAAGTAAATGTGTGGCCCTTGGGCAGGGCACTTTATTTGTGTGTTTTGTATTATGTTACTAAGATACTCTACTACTATGGTTTGTAATAATAATCGTACTTAGTTTGTAAGGTTTAAAACAACTGGTTTGTAAACTAAGTTATTGTAAGACTTTCGCTATTTCACTCTGATGTAAATTAATAAATAAACTGTTGTAATACTGCAATGACTCTATAATGGATCCTACTCGAAAAAATCGTGGATGATTCGGGGTTCTCCGAGGACACCCGACAATCTTCTTAAGTTACCGGGAACATATGCATAGTCGTTAGAGGTCATTGGACAATGACAGGTGCATGTGGGCCTTATAATTTAGGAGGTTCTACCACACCTAGGCATGACTGCAGCTCCCAATGCGTGGGCCTAGGCAGAGGCCTTCCGCGTGGTAGCACATGGGCCTCGACATGTGGCTCTCCGGTGCATGAGTTGATCTCCTCATCCTCTCTCCCTCCTGCCTCAATCTCCCTCACCCCCTCTCTCTCTCTCTCTCAAAAATCTGGCGGCGGCGACGGGCCAAGAAAAGATACGATAATGGGCCAGGGCGAGGAGGCAATGATGTGGGTTTAGTGGGCGATAGTGTAGGCAATGACCGCTATAGAGGGGATGACATGGCAACGGTTGGCTAGAAGCGGGATCTGTATGCTAGAAGCTAGGTTCCTTTTGTTTTTTTCTGATTATGACTGCCGACATGTATAAGGAGCCAATAGTGACCATCATTTTCACCGCTATTTTGAAACAAAAGGGTGGTGAAGCTTATTATCACCGTCCACTTTCACCGTTGAAGGGCAAAACTAGTGGTGTTGAAATTGTTGTTTTACTTAATAAGCTCCTTGACCATGTCTAGTTGCAGTCTTCACCAATCTTTGTTTTGCTCGACTTCTTGATGGCTTTAGCGGTTCATGTTAGCTTTATGTTTAGCTGTTTTAGGGGTCGCGATGATCTCACCGGCTTGTCCCATGCCACTTGGACCTCCTCTTTAAAGCCTTCCATGTGCATCCAGAAGTTTTCAAACTAGAAGAAAATTGGTTGGTATTAGGCCTGTCTCACCTTGGAGAAGTAAGGGTGTGTGGTCAGATATGATAGAAGGCAATGATTGTATGTGGTGGGGGAAGAGAAGCTCCCGATTCGTCAATTCTATTCATGGTTGGGTTGTCTTAACCATTTCTCCAAGTGAAACGACTGCCGTTAAGGTTAATCTCATTTAATGACGTCTAATGTCGCTTTGAACGATCCCACAAGGCGACGATTTAAGTTTGTGTTGGTTTTATCCGCAGCCTGGTTGATAAGGTTAATGTCACGGAACACCAACCACTGGTCGCGGACTAGGTTTGCCAGGTCCTTCATCGGCATCTGCTACATGTTAGAGGCTTTGAAGCCTATTTTTTCCTATGAAGGTTGCAACTCCCACTACGACACATTAGTGACAATTTAGGATGCATATTAGTGATGGGTAAAGCAAGCATCTCTAAATTCACGTCTCTAAAAATGTACTCGTCTCTGATATGTTACCTCACAAAGATGGGCTTGAATGAGGCATGTCTCTGAAAATATTCAGAGATGGTTATTGAATCGACGAGTCTCTAATATGTGAACATTAGAGATGGGTACTATTGTTATGTGGCCCTGTCAAACTAGGAAGAGACGCCTGGTAGATAGATGCATCTCTAATCCTGCATCTATGACCTTTCTTGTTTTAGCGTCACTGATTTACATGTCTTTTTTTTGCGTTCATATTGTAGTGTCGATCATTCATCCCACACACAAAAACAATAAAAAGTCCATTCATTTTCGTAACATGTTAAATGAAGGATGAAATTGTTGTATCCAAATAGTCTATTACTTGAGCAATAACTAGTTCACTCTCATGGGATCTTTAAAAGGAAAGCTGAACAGGAACAACTCCATAAACTGAATAAAACCAAATTCCAGGGATCCTTGTTCTTCAAGCAAACAGGCTAAACACCACTGACCATAACAATGGCTTGGCTTCACCTGCAAACTAATTAACTGCCATATGCACCACACATATTGGATCCAAACTATAACTCCCATATGTACTTTAAGGCCGCTTGCGGCATCCCTTGTAATATAAACTGCTTTCTTCTAATACAAAGATACGCACACTCGTACGTATTCGAGAAAAAAAAAAACTCCCATATGTTCCGTTCACATAGGAGCCACAAACATACTACTGCTGAGGGGCACAATACTCAAGAGATGAGCAGGCAAGAAATATTCTCCCCTCCTCCCCTTGATGAAATTTACAACCGCAACAGATTTTGAGCTCAAAACCTCTGATCGTGCGTGGATGTTGCAGTGGAGCACGTACGACGAAGGTGCCAGAAGGTGATCCTCCCAAATCACACACCGTAGATGGCTGAGACCCTCCGCAAGACAGTCAGCTTGAGCTCGAGGATGCAGATGTAGTCGGCCGTCCGCCGGAGCAACACGTCGACATCGGCGTCATGGGCGTCGGGGACGATCTTCTTCAGCTCCCTGAGCCTCCTCAGAGCCATATATACATGCTGGAAAGGCCTCCTGCTCATCCGCGACACCACGCCTTTGTTCTTCTTCTTCCCCACCGTGAACATGGCTTTCCTTCTCATATCTCCCAGGAGAAGCAGCTCCGGTTACAGACTAGTTAAGATTGAGATGTGTAGCTAGATCTGCAGGATGTGTGGTGTGTATGACCCGGCAAGGAGACATTTATAGGCGAGAGAGGCGAAGGATATTTCACTTGGCTATGTGGGTGGACCTTGGTTCTGCTAATCAGTAGACTGAGCTGTCAACCTGAAAGCATAGCTCTCACAAGGCATGTCATCTTACTGTGCTTGTCTGACATGCATGGATAGATAGATCAGGGAAACGTCTGGTGTGTACGTACGTCCATGCTTTTATCAAATTTTTACAGAATTTTCATCAAAAGGTTTATTCCAGATTTCAAGACGATTACTCTGGCAAAGCAATTCTCAATCCACCTCGTAATTTGTCCATGCAGTTGTAATTTTTACTCACTTCGGCTTAGACACCAAACTTGCGCAAACATGATTACATGATGCCCTGCTGAGCTGTCTTAAATTACTATGACGAACAATAGAGTGCACCCTCTGTTCTTTCTCACCTGAAATGCACGCAGGCGAACTTAAGACAAATCTTCTTGTCCTAATAATCGTAATCATCATCAAGCTGTTAGCATTATTTGCAATGATTGGAGGAATTCCCATGTGATCTTTGCCAACTTGCCGCATGTAAACTGCAAGAATCTGCAACTGGATGATATATAATCCGTCGGTGTGGCCAGCTTGGGGCCTTGGACACATTGATAGAGAATGAGTGTATCTTATAAGTGAGCAAACACTCACCAATTGTATATGTCACTTTGTTGTCGTATTTTGGCATGTTGATATATCCAACTGATAAATGTAATTCCTTGCGTCGATTTTATGTAATTCCTTGCGTCGATTTTATTGAAGAAAATTCACAAGCCATCGTCAGGTCTCTGGGTTTGGGGCCATACATAAAATGGAAATGAAAGAAAGATTGATCGATTGATCTGGCCGTTGGCGACACTACATGTGACCCTTACATCTCACCAATCACCACTACTATGCCTGCTCTGTTGCTAGATAGGAACATGGGCTTGTTGCACCCAAGCACTGCTTGCAGAACACAGGGACGGCAGACGCAAATGCCTCTGCATTTTGTAGAAACACTGACAAACTACGTGGAGCGTACGTGTAGCTAACGCATGCATGTGCCAGCTCTGAGGTGCCGATCATTTGATTGTTTTTTTCCAATCAAATTTCAGTTCGGAGAGAATCTTTTCAATTCGGATCACATCGGCACGCCATTTTTATTTGCATTCTATGATTGATCGAGCTTCATCGATCGCCACAAGGAGCAGCAGGCCATGAAAACTACTCGTTTCCATGCGGTGCGTGCGAGTTGGCGAACTGTTAAGGGCCTATATGGCAGGAATCGGTTCAATTTCACAGCAAAATCGTTGGCATGGAGAAAATTTTTCGAATTCCAAGCAGACCCTGAATGGATTATTTCTGGCATACTGTCTTCTTCACTTGTCGGATCGGATGCATGCATGTCACGTAATACGTACGTCTGTCGGTCACTCGGTCTGAACAACCCTGCAGATGGAATTGGTGTGAACGTAACGACGATTGTATTATAGCAGTTCGTTATTTATAAAATAAAGACAATTTGCTATCAATATCTAATTATATTATATACGACTAGTAGAGAAACGAGCTGTACTCCTGGTTCTCAACCCCTTCAGTCCCGGTTTTAGAACCGGAAGCACAAATCCAGGACTAATGGAGCACGTCCTTTAGTCCCGGTTTCTCACCCGGAACTAAAGATCCACCTTTAGTCCCGGTTGATAATACCAACCGGGGTTAGGCCTGGCCACGTGGGCCGGTCCTTTAATCCCTGTTGGTATTACCAACCGGGACTAAAGATTTTCTTTTTTTTCTTTTCTTTTGTTTCTATTTTCAATTGATGATTCGTTCGCATTCTACGCTGCTAGCGGGACTTTCAATTTTCGTTCGCATTCTACGCTGCTACTTTCAATTTTTTTTCTTTTTTTTTGTTTCTATTTTTAATTGATGATTCATTTTGTCTTTCGAATACGTATTCTACGCTGCTAGAATATACGTATTCTACACGTTTCTAATATACGAAGGACTTTTAGTCAAGGATGCAGCGGTACGATCTTATAGAACAGATCCTGTTCAAGTAAGATCGCGGTGCATGGCTCCAGAGCTGAGCTTTTAAGTTAGCTTTCATCCTTCTGAGCAAGCGAGGTGGTGCTAATAGGTGGGACTGGCTAGCAATTCCAGCATATTGCGTACTGGGCCGCTCCATTCTGGTATATGTTCTCTCCTATGTGTGGGCTTCAGGTCGAGCCAGCCCATCGAGGCTCCTGTAAACGCCCGGGACTAAAAGACCTTTAGTCCCGGCTCGTAATACCAGCAGGGACTAATTGCTACTTCCTAGTACAAACTGTAACCGGGACTAAAGCACGGCAACAAACCGTAACCGGCTGATAATACCAAGCACACAAGTACGTCTCGATCGCCATCATGCATGCGTCGTCACTCTTCGTTTCTTATTGCTACTTCCTGGTACAAACTGTAACCGGGACTAAAGCACGGCAACAAACTGTAACCGACTCATAATACCAAGCACACAAGTACGTCTCGATCGCCATCATGCATGCGTCGTCACTCTTCGTTTCTTATTGCTACTTCCTAGTACAAACTGTAACCGGGACTAAAGCATGGCAACAAATGCAAGCAGGGGACATCACCCTGTCAGTGTCAGCTCAAAAGACTGCCTGTTACAGTTTCAAGCTTTAGTCCCGGTTGGAGACAGCAACCGGGACTAAAGGTCCCTTTCTAGTCCCAGACGGAGCCTCCAGCCGGGAGTAGACTTTTTCTCCCGGTTGGAGGGACAAACCGAGAGTAAAAGCTAACATTTAGTCCCGGTTGGTAGCTTCGAACCGGGACTAAAGGTCTCCTGCAGCAAAAGTCTGCCGCAGTAGCCGTTGGGCAGGGACCTTTAGTCCGGGTTGAATCTACAAACCGGGACTAAAGGTCTCTCTAGTCCCGGACGTGAAAAATACCGGGACTAAAACCAAATTTCGAGGCGGGATCAAAAATCGTTTCTCTACTATTGCGATTAAGTCAAAATCCTGGTACTTTTGGCCCAATGCAGGACCGGCCTTTCCATCATATTGCAGGCGATGCTTCACTGATAAGTGTTCCCATAGGCACACCACCACTGTTCTTCCAAGCAATCAGGGCTGCAAAGTACAATGCTAGCTAGATAGCCACTGTGTAATGAACAGTGAAGGGCTCCCGATCTGAGCAGGCACGAGATGAAACAGCAGCTCGTTCTTGACACCTTTTTCTGTTTCTGAAGCAGCAGTTTGAAGCCGATGAGATTTGAGAAAGAAAAGTAACCGCGCGATTAGCAACAACCTGTCTCTGCGTCACTTTTGGTTTTAACTTACTACACTGCTTGCGGCCGGGTAGATCTACGCCGGAATTTAACCTACACACGTTGCGCAGCGCATGCATGCATGGGCAGAGCATGCATGTATGCAATAATCGATTAGGATTTAGGGCAGACAGCTGCAGCGTGTGAATGACAATTCGCGTGCTGATCGATCAAATCTTGCAGGATATGGATATGTACGCATGCAAAAGGTCATTGAGGACGGATGGGTGGTAGATTCGGTGTAGCCTTTCGTGCCAGGACCCGGCCGGCGGCTCTTCAGAGTTTCAGAGGAGCTACTAAGGCGACGTGGATCAACCGCCTTCGCTCAACAACGCATGTGCTGACGATCTAGTGATGCTTTGATTTATTGATGATCCATTGTGCAAGATGGAGTTAACCGACGGTTAAGATCACGCCACTCAGTTCATCAATTGGTGTAGCCGTCCGTTCTTTTACATGTGTTTGGTAAAATAAATTAGACATAGGCCATACACCAATGTCGACTTGATGCAACAAGCAGCCCGCGCTTATCATGTGCTTGATTTTGAGAAAATAGACGATGGAATGGTTCCATCCCTGATTTTTTAGAACAAGACAATCCCATTCGATTGTTTGGTTCAGAGTATATATAGAGGCGATTTCAAATTTTTGTTTACTATGTGGAATAGGGTCAGTGAGAACGGACACCATTTTCCTCAAAAAAAATAAGAAGAAAAACGGTGTCGGTGTTTCGAGTTACCACCGACGAGTAAATTTGTATTATTGCGCGTCTGACTCGGATGGTGTGCTTAGAGGACACGAGGTTTATACTGGTTCGGACAGAAAGTCCTTACGTCCAGTTCGTCGCTGCTGCTCGTATTACTAGCACCGAAAGTTTATAGTAGGGGTTACAAACGGACGAGAGAGGGAAATGATCCCAAGTCTCTGGTGAAAGGAGTGAGTGGGTGCTGAGAGCTCGATCGCTGCTCAGCTGTGCGTTCGTGTCGTGCTTTTGTGCGGATCTGTATCGGATCTTGATGGGTCGATCGGTCCGGGAACCTCTTCATGGGGCGCCCTACTTTTCCTTTTATAGGCCAAGGGAAAGCGCGGGTTATAGCAGAGGAAAAGGAGAAGAACGAGAGAGAGGAAGGCCTCCAGGATCGTTGGGTCCTTCTTCTCCTTCATGCGGGTCCCACCGACACTGTAGATGTCAACAGGGACGGCTCTACGTCGCAGTCCTGTCCGTCACTAGCGCCATGCGCAGAAGTCACCCGCCGGTCATGGCGCTCAACTCCGCCCTGGCGGACGTTGTGGTAAACTGACGTGCTTGCCAGTGTTCGTACGAGGGTTAGGTAGAACAACACCGGTACGCCCGACGCTGTTCTTGATGTGAATCCTCAGGTATGGCCCGCCGTGGCCGCGGGTTACATCGGGGCATGCCGGTCTCTCCCTTGGTGTTAGAGTTTTGACCTAGGCTCATACGCTTGGACCTGTAGTGGTTGGCAGCGGTATGGGTCCCCATCGGGCGAGATAGAGCCCACACCCAAGGGGTCGGGCGAGGCGGAGCCCACGGCCTCGGGGTCGGGTGAGGCGGAGCCCACCCCCAGAGGTC